TTAGGTGTTATTGCTGGGACTTCGGAGTTTAATTTACGTTTTCTTTAATCCTCACTCTACCAGGAAACAAAAAGTCAAGATTCCAATGTAATTATTCAATCTAAACACTTTTTTTTTCTGCTAAAAAAAATCAGATTTTTCTTTGATTGATATTCTATGTTCATAAAAAAATTATCTTTCATATCAAGAAAACCATTTAATCGATTTTTGGGTTTAGATTTGTTTTTCTTTCGAGAATCCTCTGCATCGAATCGAAAATCACAAAAACGCTCTCTTCATTTTATCAATTTTGCGTTATGCCACCAAACATCACCAATTTCAGTATTTCTGGTTTGACTTCACCCTTGTATTCGTAGATGTCATTATCGTATCCACCCTCTATCATCTTCCCTGGTGTTGAATTAGCTTTCATGGAAAAAGGGATGCACCATCTCTGCTATTGCTGGAAGAAGCCATAGAAATTGAGGGAAATAATTGCGATGTCTACAGAGAACTGAGATGAGATGAGAAGAGATAAACCAAATCAGACCAAACTAAAATATTTATAGAACAATTTGGGGTGGGTGTTCATCTTTCTTTCACAAAGCCCTCTGTTTTTTGGTGAAATGGGTGGGGAACAGACTTGAGAAGAAATTGAAAGAGGGCTGTTGAGAAGAATGTGTTGGCGCCAGATTTCCGACTATTGAAGATCGAGGAAATCCGCCGAGTTTTGGAACTAAAAGATTGGCAAAGATTTGTTTTCCATGTTTATTTTGGAAATTATTAGAGTCCTATTTTATAATACTTCTATTAGGACTTAGATTTATTTCCATGTATTTTATTCTAGTTAGGTATGTTTTGTACTTATCTAGAATAGAAGTAGAAATCAACTAGGATTCTATTACCTAGTTAAATAGATTTCTTGAGGTTCAAGTTAGGTCTTATGGCTTATTTTCGTGGCTATATAAGCCTCCAAGACATACAAGAACCGCGCGCATTATTTGGAAGAAAAACCACTTCATAGCGTCGAAGGTTTGCTAAAGGCGTTCTGCGGAGCAGGACTGTGCCATCGTTGCACTGTGTCATCGTTGTGTGTGCCAATATATACAGATCTGCTGTATAGATCTCAAGGGAGATCAGCCGCGTTTCTGAAGGGAGTTCAGGCCTGAAGGGAGTTCGAGGCACGCGGTGTGGAGCTGCTGTTGGAAGAGACACGGAGTTCAAGTTGTGTACAAGAACGGCATATTACATAAATAGGGAGTCTTTAGTGTTTTTAATAAGTCCTATTAATGTACACTGTAAATCTGAACTAGTGAAATCGTGTTTGCAGGTCCACGTGGATGTAGAGCACATTTGTGTCTGAACCACATTAAATTCTTGTGTTTGTTTACTCGCTTTCAGTAGTTTATAACTGTGTTAACACAAGAATTGTAGTTGTAACTGCATACTGTTCCCACAACAACTGTTACAACTTCGGTTAACAGACTTTCATAGGCATTTAAAATCAACAGAATGTATGAGGAAATTTGTTATGCTTTTAATTAATAGAAAATACAGTTATCAAAAAAAAAATTGATAGAAAATAGAAAAGGGCACTTTGGCATTTTTAAAAAGTTCACACATAGGAAAATATCACCACACGTTTTTGGAGCGGTTGAATTGCACGCGCTGTTACTTTTCACAGAAAACTTAACGGCAGCTACCTATGGACAACCACAGGGTGGTTATATGCTTATATTAATACCACAAGTGGGTTATGTGCCAAAAGGTCAAACCACAAGGGGGTTATGTGCTATTTACCCTTATAATTATGTATTATGTATTTTATTTATGATAGATATCAAAGAATTGAAGCCACACAAAATTAGGTACTCAATTATATTCATTTGTTTATAGTGGATAATTTTCTTTACTAATCTTAGGTAGTTTGGGTCGAATCATAATTTTAGATCAAATTATTTGAAGTTAAAAATTGCCAATATTTGTAAAGTATGCAATTTATATATTGCTCAGTATAAACTCGAAGCCCAAATAAATACATGAGTCAAGTTTGAGTAATTAGTAAGGAGGCCCAATGGTATGTGAGATTGAGCCTACTATAATAAGTTCCGACATTATATGAGTTTGACATCTCAAACTCAATTTAAATGGCCCGATTGCAAGCCCTACAGTTGTCACACGATTTTTACGTTCTGCGGTACCAAATTTTATTGTGTGTCCAAATTTCTTATCTTAACATGCTATTTTTTGGATCGGAATATTTCAGTGTACACATTATAATTTTATTTCTAAAATATAAAGATATTCAAAATAAAATTATTGCCCCCAAAAAATGTGGAAGAAGTTTGAAAATATATCCTAGGTAAAAAAAAACAAAAGACATTTTCATGTACTTATTGGGGTAAGGTACATAAACAACACATG